CCTGGGTGCTTAGCAAAATTAAAAGCATACCAATTATAGAAAAAATACAAAAAACATCCAATACAAACAATACAATATACATCAAACATTATTAAATGCCACTACCTAAACTATAGCATAAAGCACCACTTACTAAATGCTTTTAATGCAAACATACCTGTGCTGCTAATACTAGCCAGCAATGCATAATCATACTTACTACATTCCAGTGTATTGTGATTAAAGTATCTAGCTCCAAGGTCCTTTGAACAAATATAAATGACCTAATACAGCATTATCATAAACATAACACACAGTCTTCTTTATAGCTAAAAAAGAAAACCTCACTTCAACACTTATCTACTATCTTAGTTACTTACCAAAACTCACAACTACCTACCATCTCAACAACTTAAAACAATTTACTATACCAAATATTCCTACCAAGTATTGCTATTACATGACTATCTCATCTCACAACAATTAACTCACAGGCCAAAAAACTTTAACTATATTTTTATGCAACTATAACTCAAGCAAATACACCACAGTCACAGGCTCAATTCACCTGGACCCTTACACCAACTAACTTAACATTCTCATCCAAAATCACATATTGGCCTTCTACAACATGTATATACCTTATTGGAATTATAACAATTCTAATGATAGTTTTACAGAATTGTCAAATAACAGTTCACATAACTTACAAATCAACAATTAACTACATTAACTCTCTTCTTGCACCAATACCAAATTCTACTCTTATCCTTCAAAAGTACAACTATTGGTCATTCAAACTACTACTACAGACTATAATTGCTCACAAAAGTACTAAAATTAAAGGTATCTATATGGAAAACCCTGATAACCACTCTCTATATAATAGAACAACCATCTGTCTACCAATATACAACAATACAAACTGCACATTCAAGCGCATACACTTGATAATAACAATTTTTACCTTATCTGAAACAATACACTAATTGAAAACAAAACCCATCATTTCATTAGACACTTGCAGAATACAACAAATATAGCAAAATGGCATGCTCTCAATAGAACTAAACATTGGAATGATATTCATAAAGATACCAACTGGGACTCAATACACAAATTTCTTAATTATAACAACAAACCTAACATCCATACTACTTATCCAAAACACTCATGATTTAAAAGTATCAAAATTAAATTTCTACTAGATGAACTACTAACTTTATTAAACCTATACTACAGAAAACCTACCAATTCTACCTGCAATCGTTGCTTTATGCATATCGAAAACAACTTTTACTGGCTTGAATATATAGCAAATCCCATATCTTTAGATTAAATAATTCAACAAACTACCTCAAATTCTTTACTAAAAACAAAATAGAACTACAAAATATACCAACCTTATTACAACAACTCTTTCAAATATCAAACAATACATATAATCTTCTTAGATTGCAAGGATTAATTCCAAACAACCCATCTGCAACTTGCAATATTAATCCGAACATGCTTGTTATTCTATTTCATAAAATATCAAATAATATTTATAAACAAATATGAACAGAAAGATGCAAAGCCATGCATCAAAATGTCCTACTAACAAATATACTCACAATTACAACCTCAGAACACCCAGCCACAGACTAAGTAACCACAACAAAATATGAAAAATAGACAATTATTTTTTCTACTACTAACATATCTACATCTTACATTGCAACATTAAACCTAGAAGAGGTCTGATAGCCTACTCTAGTAGAGTTTTAGGCTGAGAATAAATTAGTTCTAGCTATAGGTCCATGTAATAATTTATGTAACTTATTTTTATTAATATAATATCAAATTGTTCAATAAAGACTGAAGTCAGGCCTCATTTTAAAAAAAAAAAAAAAAAAAAAAAAAAAAAAAAAGTGAATAGTAAGTTAGTATTATGATTGTGTGTGTGAATGGCAAGTAAAAGGAGTAATAGGTGTGCTTAGTCAGGTTAAGTGCTATTTAAGAATCATTTTTTAGATAAAAATTGATTATTCTTTTGTTCACTATTGATCACCTTAGTGAAGGCTGGCTCTATCAGCCCTCCCTGCCCACCCATTGTTAAGTGGCTCTGCAACTTGAAATAGTGCAATGACCACAACAAGCTTATAACACCACAGTTCAAATAAGCTTGGCTCCGAGGCTGCATTAGCAGTGCAGAGACCATGCTCAATTAAGTGTACATTAGTATTATAGACTCGATCCTCTGTATATCGCTATCTAATCTACTAGTTCCTTTCTTAGAGTATGTTTTATTAACAAATTGATTTGTAATTGGTTCCATTACTGTTGAACCTGAGGGATAGCAGTTTTGAAACCGTTCGGACTAGGGTTCGAAGGTTTAGAGGTATGGGATTATATTCGAGACGGTAACGTTAGTACAATTAGGAGCCTTCAGGATAGCGGACCTATTCCCATATGTTTTTTCTTTGTTTTATTAATAAAGTCTCTGATCGAGCAATAATAATGAAAATTTGTCAAGGACAAACATCACCAGAATTCAAAAAGGAATTACCTGATGGTTTTTGCACGTTTAATATAGATATGTCAACTGATACTGACCAAAAAAAATCACATTAGCAAAATGTCGGCCTGGTCGACCGGCCCGAGCTTTTTTAGGATCAACCCCAGTTACGTCATAGGCAGAAATTTGTCTGATTGGCTAATAAATTCAATTCAATTTTACATTATTTATACAGTTTAGAGTATTTTTTAATAAACCGAAAACCAACCATAATAAAGTAAAAAAAAACTAAATAGAATGTTTCATTAGAGCTGTAGGACTCCATAGCCAAAAATAAGATCCAATTCTCGTCCGTTTAAAAAAGTTAGTATAGTAATAACTTCTCAAAACCCGATAAAATCAACTTATTACTAAGCTAATTTTTTTAAACGGACGAGAATTAGATCTTATTTTTGACTATGGAGTCCTACAGCTCTAATGAAACTTTCTACATGCTTTTTTTTTTACTTTATTATAGTTGGTTTTCGTACTTTATTATGGTTGGTTTTCGTTTTTTTAAAAGGTACTCTAAACTGTATAAATAATGTAAAATTAAATTGAATTTATTAGCCGATAAGACGAACTTCTGTCTATGAATGGGCAAAGCCGTGTGGCTGCTTCTTCTTTTCGATCACGTATCTATCACTTCGAATAAAAAAATTAATAATCATTTCAACGTAACCGATACGTAATTTATATTATCAGGTCGGAAGTGATCGACGATCACATTTTTCGCCAAGACTAAATTTCTGTTACGTGTGTACCAGCAAGATACAATACGTACATCGCGCTCATTACTAACTAACTCCCTTTAAGCCTAGTATACTATATAAAATTTGATATACTGTACTGTCTATCACTATATATAATTTTGATTTTATTGGTTGACCGCGTTGTACAGCTACCTTATACTAAGCAAAAAGGTAGTACTTATGTGTGATGTACACACACTTCTTTTTTTTTGCACTATACAAATTAATTTTCTATTTTAAATATTTATCTAACCGTTAGGCGAAGTGCTTACTAGATATTCTATTTTAAAAATGTCGGATAAACTTTACAAGTATTTAGATAGTGTTAAAAATGACAAACTTTCTGTAAGAGATTCTAGTTTCAATGGTTTTTGCAAATCTTGTGGTCAATATAATACCAATTTTATTTGGTGCCAAACTTGTGATCCTCAACTAATAAAAGATCAAGATTGGACAAGTGGAAACCAAGAAATTGATAATTTAATCAAATCTACCCAATTATATGGAAACTCATATTTATATTCACTCGAATGGATTCCATTTGATAGATTAAAGAATGTTAAAAAAATTGGTGAAGGAAGTTTTAGTACTCTTTATTCAGCTACTTGGCTAGATGGTCCAAAGTTTGGTAAATGTGAAACTCATCGCACCCCTTCCAAATATCGTAAACCAAATTACACTGTTGCTCTTAAAAGTTTAGTCAACACTCAAAATTATTTGTCTGATTTCTTGAACGAAGTAAGTGTATATGAGTGACAGTCAAGGAAAACCTGTAAATCATGCTTTCTGAATATTTACTTTTAATAAAAATAAAGTAATTGAATACCTGTGATTACAATGTTATTTGAATCATCTCATTAATGCGATTCCAATGATATTAAAATAATAAGTGCTAGTTACATTATTTTAAAATATTTTTATTAAAAGTAAATATTCAAAAAGTATGATTTACAGGTTTTTCCTGACTATCACTCATATGTTATAATATATATATGCCATCCGAAATCAATTTTAATACTTTCATTTTTTATTCATAGATTAGCATTTTAACATTATGCCAATTACAACCTAGTTTTAAATGTCTTCGATTATATGGAATAACATATAACACAATAACTTGCAAATTTATGATAGTGATTCAATATGCAAATGGTGGAAATCTTCGAAGTGTATTATCTAGAGATTTTCGTTCTTTAAAATGGGCGGATAAAATACATATGTTAAGCGATATATTATATGAATTGAATCTTATTTACAAAGTAGGATATTTACATAAAGATTTTCATAGTGGCAATATATTAAGGCATAAATTACAAAAGTTAGAATCGATTAAAGATTTAACAACCACTATAATTTCTGGATTTGAATTATCAAGGAATGTCGAATCTATCAAAAAGAATGAGATTACTTGTATATTAACGCATACAGCTCCGGAAGTTCTAATTGGAAATCCATATACGCTCGAATCATTAATTTATAGCATAGGTGTTTTAATGTCGGAATTGTCGACCGGTAGTCCTCCATTCGAAAATTACACTCATAATTTAGACCTCGCAATAGAAATTTGTAATGGATTAAGACCTGAATTTGCACCTCAAACACCCAATTGTTATGTCAAACTGGCATTGCTATGTATGGATACAGATCCCAAAAAGCGGCCATCCAATATTATTTCTATTTCAAAAGAAATTAATTATTGGAAAAATATATTATTTAAAAGACATGATATTATGAAATGGAATGAAGAAGAACGTATTATTGAAGACGAATTCGCTAAAGCTGATAGTATGGTTGCAAATTACGTACTACAATCAGAGAAACACTCAAATGCTATTTATAAGAGTCAGCTTATTAATACTCGCGAATTAATAGCAAAGGTTGGCCAAGAAAACATATATACTATTATAAGAGGTAGCTATTAATTATTGAATAAAAAAATATAGCTATAATATTTATTATTATATATATTTTGTTTTTTAGAATCAGAAAAGAATGACAGCTTTCCATCTTCAGGTATTATTTAATAGTATGCTCAATTGTGATATATTTGTTTTAAATAT